CATCCTGTCTCTACTTCAATGTATGTCTAATCTGATCAGGGCTGAGTTGTTTCAAATTTCTTTTTCTACTTTCTACTTGCCCAGAATTCATATCTTTTATTTTTAATGGCTCAGTCTTCCACTTCTCTGAATGAAGCATACATTTTATCACACTGCACCAATACTAATCCTGGCCAAATCATAAGAAAACAATATCTATCTATATCATCTATATCCATATGTATATCTGTATCTGTATCTATATCGATCTATAGATACACACACACACACACTGTACATACATACATACATACATACATACATACATACATACAGTGGTGAGATTCAAATAATTTAACAACCGGTTCTCTGCCCTAATGACCAGCTGGGTAGGCATGGCTCGGTAGTCATGTGATCATGTGGGTGTGACCAAGTCAATGTCACTAACGTCGATGGGCACTTCACCTTACTGTTACAATGTAATAAGGGTTAAACCAGAGAGGCAGTTTCTGTAAGCAGGGCAATAAAGATTAGGCTAGAAACACCAGCAGAATGTTTCCTTCCTGCCTTCCTTACAGGATTAGCCCCGTAAAGTGGAAAAAAGCAAAATAAGATTTTTTCCAACAACTGGTTCTCTGAACTGCTTAGAAAGTTAACAACCAATTCTCCCGAATAGGTGCAAACTGGCTGAATCCCACCACTGCATACATACCAGGAATAGTACTTTCAATGGACCAGCAATTAAAGTATGATTCCTTGCTCGAGAGTGTCATAACAACATTCTAGCCCTTGCGGCTTGATGGATAACACAATCAACTTTCTTAAGCCAGAAGGAAAGTGGGGCAGTCTAAGAGTGAGGTTTCAGAGAAGGGTGACACAACTGAAAAAGCATTTATTCAAATCTCTGTATGCAAAATTTATAGACTATAATTTGTATATGCACAAATTATTTTCAGATGGTATTTTTCAAGATCCAGGATCATCTAAACCAAACCTATGTAAAGATTGTTGTCCAGAGGCTCTATAAAGCACTCAAGATCAGAAAGAAACCTAAGAAGAGTAATCCAGCCATCGTCCCTCCTTTTGCATCGTTTTATTTCTTGGACAGTTTGTAAGAGACAAAGATAAAGTAAGATCTCTTTGTTGATAAACTCTTCATTATAGCTCATTTGTCAGAAAATGCCTAAGGTGGTATAGGGAATATCATTTGTTTGTGCATTTCAGCAAAGATCTCATCACATCAGTCATTTTAATTAGTAGATTAAAACTCCCATCTGCTGCACTGTTATTTAAATAAGCCAGCAGATAAATGAGAAGCTACCACATTCTTAGGTGGATGCAGAAATTGTGTTTATAATTTTTAAAACAAACCTTAGCTTACAGGAGCAACTTTATAGGAAAGTAAAGCAAATGATAACCAGACATCTGATAAAAATATATATTGTATGAAAGAATACCACAATGACAATCATCATTGGAAAAACCATAGCAGTATATCCAAAATAGGTAGAAATGTTTTGTTTTGAATCCAGGACAAAACCATCACTATATGGACATTTATCAGGCCATTTCAGGCCAACCTCATCTTGGCAGAGCCAAAATGCCTTGTGTATTCCAGTTTCTGCATGGATTGAATAGGGCAGAACTGCCCTTTCACTACTTCCTATCTACCATTTCATTTTTTCAACACATTCCCCAGCTTGCTCAGTCTGTCCAGCCACCATGATTATCCCATGGTGGCATATCTCCCAGATATCTGTTTGTCCCAATTATTGATGGATGGAGGGATATGATTTACATAGTTGTCTTCTCACTTAGTATCTACTCAGAGGTGTCTGCAAGCTATGTTGCCTTCATACATGTATGCAAAGTCACAGTGACACAAAAAAGGACACACTAAAGTACATCAGCCCTGGACTGTTTTAATCATTTGTTCCCTTCCAGAGAGGATGCCTCTGATCAAACACTGCAGTTTTTAGGGAAGACAGCAAGATTAATACATGCTCTCTATAAGCCCTTTTGTTTGCCTTAGAAAGGTACTGGGCCTTGATCTTACCTTTGGGAAACAGATGACATCTGGAAGCAGGGAGAGTAAGAGAAGTGAGATTTCTTATAAACATTGCCCTGTATTGCCTCTTCACCTCTTCTTATATCTGCCATGTTGTTATAAAGGCTTATCCACCTGAAATTTAAAATGATGTTATCTTGGGATTTCAGGGATGTCTATATGTACAAGCTGAATCGGTGAGTGTTTTTGATGAAAATTGATCAAATTCACTATCTCATAAATCAGGAGTGTCAAACTCCCAGCCCGCTGGCCACACCTACCCCCGGTTTAGCGAAGAGGAAAAAAGTCATGATACACCGTGTGAGGACAATGTGATGATGCAAGTTTGACACCCTTGTCATAAATGAACAAAAATGTATCATCAAGATTATCTCTACAAAATACAGCACAGTGCTATGCACACATATCAGTGCTGTTTGTTGTAATATAATCCGAAGGCACAGATGGATACACTTCTGGTACTAGTCTAAGACCATAATAAACTCTCCTCAGACGGAAAAGAAATCAACAGCTGCTAACATCCAAATGTGCCTCTTCTATGTCAGATGCTAATCATTTTCAAGTATACTTTAAAGTTCCTTAGCATCAAGGCAAGTAGTCCATTGTTATATAAGTTCTACTGCTTGGGTTTAGTTGGATTTTACAGGTGATTATTCTTTTTATTTTATTATGCTAAACTGAGCTACAAAAGAACTATACAAAATACATACAATAGGATTAAAGGATCAACACCACCTCTAAACTATTGAGTTTTGTGTTTGTTAACAAAAATAGAAATAATTGAATGACAATTTCTAAATATCAGGATGCATTTTTAAAAATAAAATATTTTGTTTACTTTCATTAGAATTAAAGTCTCTATAAAGTGTTCATGGATGATATCGGTAATAAGATGTATGTATGTATGTATGTATGTATGTATGTATGTATGTATGTATATATATATATGATGAAAAGTGTCTGATGCTTCATTCAACACACACTCACACCCAAACAAATTTGCTCAAATTTTGATGAACTAAAGCTTGGAAAGGCCATTTATAAATGCAAGAGCCAATGCTCAACTATCCTAACCTTCACAAATGAAGGCAAATATACACGGCCCAGGATAATGTTGCAAGATCTAATATGGGTCAGAAGTTCCCTGAAGATGGACTCCAGCACAAGTCCAAAAGCTCGGAAGACTAAACCCAGTGACTAACCCAGATTGGATCCTCTCCCAGCCCTCCTAAACTGATGAGGAATGAGATTTAAATTGGGTTAAGCATTTATGCACACCCACAAAGTTCCTTAGTTATTTCCAAATCAAATGAATTGAGATCTGCAGCCTATTGGAACAGACCACTCCCCAATTCTTATTCATCTCAAAAAATTGACTATGTACCCCTTTGGTGCTAACCAATGGTGGGTTCTAACCAGTTTTACCACCGGTTCGCATCGTGCACGTGCTTTGCGCATGATCGCTGCGCTTGCACGCATGCCAACCTGGCACTTTGCGCAAGTGCATTGAGTGACAAAACAGCTGAGGCACGGCAATCCACTCTGCCGTGCCTTACCGCTGAGCTAAAAACAAAAGAAATAAAGGAAGGTATAGCGCGGGTGCGGAGGGGGAGGGCCCAACCGATGGTCGGAGTGAACTGGTTTGCTCTCTAATCAAGATTTCCACTACCGGCTCTCCCAAACTGGGGAGAACTGGTAGCAACCCACCACTGGTGCTAACAGTGTCATACAAGGAATGCCAAGGTAGCCCAAGAAGGACACTGCCTCCTTCTGGAAAAGCACACCGCTTGAGAAAATTTCAGGCATTTCTGCTCCTGACTTTCCCTTCTAGTTCCAGGCTTTTCCCTAGCATTACATGTCAGAGTTGCCAATAAAGCAGCAACCTTGACACAGGTGTGGGAGGAAAAAGGAGAAGAAACATGTGGATTGTTTTGGAGCTCTGCAAGTACCACTAAATGAGTAAGTGCAACAGCCAAAAGAGATAAGTTTTTTACTATAGACTAGACTAGACTAGACTAGACTAGACTAGACTAGACTAGACTAGACCACTAGAACAGACAGAACAGAACAGAACAGAATTCTTTATTGGGCAAGTTTGATTGGTCACACAAGGAATTTGTCTTAGGTGTATATGGTCTCAGTGTACATGAGAATAAAATACATTCATCAAGAATAAAAAGATACAACACTTAGTGATAGTCAAGGTTAGTAATAAGCAAGTAATAAAGCTTCATCATTGAATCTTAATCAACAAAAGTCCAGGAAAAGCGATCAGAAACTATCCATATCTTTATATCTTAATGTTCTACAAGTAAATTAATTTCATATTTCTTTCCTCTCCTTAACATACTCCCTTGTCATTTTTCTCTAAAAATACGAAAACAAAATCTTCTTTCCACATCTTATATGAATAAACAAATCTTTAATACTGGATCATTCAACCTTATTAAAAAAATTCCATTAGAAGCTTTCAGAAATAACATATTGAAAATTGTAATCTTTAAACCCTTCAAATGGTGTCCAAGAAATTAATTTCTTAACATCTTCTCTTCATCTCCTCTCAATTGTAATACCATAGTCTATCACTTTCTTTTAAGTGTTTAAAAACTCTTGTTCCCGTATCTTATTAATAAACAAATCTTTAAAGCCTCATTATTCAGTCCTAGTCGAGAGAAACCCATTAAAAACTTTTTTAAAAAGTCCTATACATTTTAACTTTGCTTGAATAAACCAACTTTTAAAACTTTATTTCTACTTTTAAAGCTCTTGATATTTATTCATTACAATAGAAACCCATCTGAGCACATTTCAGAGAGAGGCATTCCCTCCAACTTTTACCAGTAATTTCAACATACAAGTTGACCTTCAGATAAATTTCATTAGCGACCAACCCAGCCAACCTGACATTAAGCAGCACCAGGTGGAATCTAGCACCATCTAAGGTTCTATGACCAGTAACAAGAGATGTTGGCTGATAGCTGAAGTATTTCTTCTTCAGAAGTATTATGAGGTCTGTAATTGTAAAAGGTAAAGGTTCCTCTCGCACATATGTCGTTCCCGACTCTAGGGGGCGGTGCTCATCTCCGTTTCAAAGCCGAAGAGCCAGTGCTGTCCGAAGACGTCTCCATAGTCATGTGGCCAGCATGACTAAACGCCAAAGGCGCACGGAATGCTGTTACCTTCCCACCAAAGGTGGTCCCTATTTTTCTACTTGCATTTTTTATGTGCTTTGAACTGCTAGGGTGACAGAAGCTGGGACAAGTAACAGGAGCTCACTCCGTTACGCGGCACTAGGGATTTGAACCGCTCAACTGCCGACCTCTCGATCGACAAACTCAGCATCTTAGTCACTGCGTAGGTCTGGGTTATTATGGTTACAGTGAAGGATTAGTAACAAATATTAAAATAAAATATTCAAATGTTTTTACAGAGTAAATGGATACCACAATCTGTCCCATTTCCATCGTCCTTCCTGATCTCTTGGTTGTGGTATCAAAAGAAAGAAGGTCTTTCCAAGCACATCTTGATATTCCTGACACTGATAGTGGTAAATAGTAAATACAATTAGGTAATTTTATACGCTTCCTGACAGCCCTGAGGAACTTGCAATTCTACACTTTATTGTTGTTATAAAAGTCAGGGTGTTAAAAAAGATAAATCAGGCAATATCCTCATTGCAAAGAGGTTGATTTAAGAGAGAGGGCATTCATCTTATCTTATCTGAAAGAAGAAGAGATGGTTGTGCAGTCATGTCTGCATTTTAATCACAGCCACAGCCATAAGAGTCATTAAAATACTCAATGTTCTGATGCAGTTAAAAAACAAACAAACAAACAAACCAGCAATGAGTCAAAATAGCTGCCAGTTTTACAGTACCAATAAGGAATGCACTTCTCTGAATTATGTGCTTAGGATAAGTTGTTGGGAATAGCTAGTTGATGTAGCAATCAATTTATTTCAGGTAATGTGGCTGTCTAAGGAATTCTGGGAGTTGAAGTCCACAGGTTGTAAAAGAACCACAGATGTCCACCCCTGGACTAGGAGACTTCCAAGGTCTCTTCCAAATTTGCTATTCCATATTCTGACTCTGTACTTCCTCATTTTTACTTATATTAGACATTTATAGTCTTTTTTTCCCCATCATTTGATATTCAGAGTATTTCGTGTGACAAAATATATTCCAGTCTGAGATATCTCTTCATATTATCACTTACCCTTGGTGTTACTATTTTGAGAAAACGTATTGTTGGAACTTCACTGTTTTACTGTAATATGATAATTTTTTTGCAATGTATCATTTTCCTTCTTGTGATTTCATTGTATTTCAAAATGTTCATGAAGCCTTTGTTGGATGTTACCAAATAAGCTAAAGGATCATCAATGGTTTTCTACACAATGTATTGATTCTGGGATTTTATTTTGTATCTGTTCATTAAACTAAAATTAATAAAATAAAATAAAAAATAGAATATGATGAAAAAAATAAGCAGTTTAACATTGATTTGGCATTATTAAAATATTCAGCCTGGTATTTTGTTTAGTTATTTGTACTAAGGCAGTTTTTATCTATCTATCTATCTATCTATCATCTATCTATCTATCTATCTATCTATCTATCTATCTATCTATCATCTAATTTCTATTGCTGTCTATTGGATGGTGTGCATGATAAAGAACGTACAGTCTCTTTTACGACTCTGTAGTCCCTTAAGGGTCCCTATAACCCTTAATTAGGATTATAGTTGGGGTGATTGGATGGAACTGAGCATTTACTAGCCGGATGCCCTGCCTGACGCCATGTGGAGTTTGCAGCAAATATTTTTTCTTTCACCTTAGGAGAAAAACATGTGCCACTATCTAGGATCACACAATCTAGGATTGAACTCTCAACCTTCTGAGTGGGAAGCGAGCATCTTCACCATGAGGCCACCATTCAGGTAAATTGCTTCTGATGCCTTTATAGAAAAACAAAGTTGTTTCCCACAGTTGGTACAATGTTGTGACCCTGGCAACTGGGAGTTCTTATTAGCTTGAGAAAATGTTTATCTTTATATGCTTGGTTTTTTGTTTTTTTTTTTAATTTATATGTCGCCCTTCTCCGGAGACTCAGGGCGGCTTACAATGCGTTAAGCAATAGCCTTCATACTTTTTTACCATATATTCTAAATATCCTAAGCTGGAACATGACAAAAACACAAATTCTGTGGTAAACACTGTTGCATATTTCATACTGTCATTTCTTTGTATCCCCAGGTTTTTCTATCTATTTGCATTAATGCCAAGCTAGAGGTTCTAAAATTCCTTTAGTTTACTGAGAACATATGACACATCCATTAATATTCTTAATAGAATCTTATTTAGCAGTTCATTCACTATAGAGTGACAGTTGTGGATTGAATAAAATGATCTGTTCAGCAGTTCAATCATACCCAAGAAGAATTTTTATGTAAAGTCTTATATGAAGTCATTGATCAATTCCTTTCTGTAGACGTAAGGCTAATAAAAGCCCATTTGCTACAATTTATCTTTAATAAGAACCATATATTTGAAGCAAGGGATGATTTTATGTGTGGGCAAGTTCATTTTCAGGTTTTTGAATGAAACAATAAAAAGCTATCCATCTGGTTTAATTATGTCAGTGCCAGAACTTATTATTCACTTCCTCTTCATAAATGCTACTTAGATTTTAATTTCAGGTGTTCTGCATGAGGTACACTTGAAAATAAAAAATGCATTAGCAATTATTTCAGAGTGACCCATATTAAGAAAGGTCTGCAAAACAACTAAGAGAAATGCTTCTTATTACTTAACTTTAAACATCAAGTGAATTGTTATAAATAAAAGCTTTAGTATAGGTCTACCTTGTGTTCCAATTGCGCCCTTTCCTTGTACTGGAGGACTTTTAGATGGTCACCCATATCCTAGTCATCTCACAACTGGACTACAGGTAAATTCCCATTTAACAATTGCCTTGTTCAGTGACAATGTGAAGTTATGACAATGCTGAAAAAGTAACTATAGTATTGGGACTCACTTACAATCGTTGTAGTGACCAGCGGTCATTTGATCACCATTTGTGAGCTTCCCAGCTGGCTTCCAACAACAGAGTCAAGAGAGAAGTAGGCAATAAAATCACAAGTCACAGTCATGTGATGTCTCATTTAACAACCGTATTATTTAGCACTGAAATTGCAAATCCCAGTTGTGGTAATTAAACAAGGACTACATATCAGTGGTGAAATCTAAAATTCGTTACTACCGGTTCTGTGAGCATGGCTTTGTGGGAGGGGGGGGATAATGTGACTGGGTGGGTGTGGCCAATTTTTTTTTTTAACTTTTAAAACCATTTTTTCTACAACCTCTTCAGCGAAGAGGTTGTAAAAAAATGCTTTCAAAAGGCTCTGATGATCCCAGCTAAGTTGCCTGATCGGCAGAGGCTTTTTTTCTTTTAAAAGCCTCTGCTGATCAGGCAACTCAGCTTGGATCGTCAAGAATCCAATCCTGAAGAGGTTGTAGAAAAAATGCTATTAAAATTTTTTTTAAAAAAAAAGCCTCTGATGATTGTGCGACTCAGCTGGGCATGTGGGGGCAGGGATTTTTGCTACCGGTTCTCTGAACCACCTGCCTCCATTGCTACCGGATCGGGCAATCCAGTCCGAACCGGGAGCATTTCACCCCTGCTATCTATATTGCAGTTTGTTCTATATGGGGCAGGTCTTGAACACCATGCAGAAGCTGCAGCTGATTCCAAATGCAGTGGGACAGGTAACACAGGTAGTCCTTGACTTACAACAGTTCATTTAGTGACCGTTCAAAGTTACAACAGTACTGGAAAAAGTTTTTTATGACAGTTTTTCACAGTTACAACTTTTGCAGCATCCCCATGATCATATGATCAAAATTCAGACTCTTGGCAACTGGTTCATGCTTATGACTGTTGCTGTGTACCAAGGTCATGTGACCCCATTTTATGACCTTCTGACAAACAAACTCAATGGGGAAGCCAGGTTCACTTAACAACTGGGTTACTAATTTATCAACTGCAGTGATTCGCTTAACAACTAACGCAAGAAAGGTTGTAAAAAAGAAAGGGGGCAAAACTCACTTAACAAATATATCACTTAACTACAGAAATTTTGGGCTCAGTTGGGGTTGTAAGTCAAGGACTACGTGTAATTGGCATTTTTCACTAACCAACATCTTATCGCTGCTTCCCAAACTGCAATGTTGCTAGCAGTCAATTCAAGGTACAATTCAAGGTATTCAAACTTGTCACAATTACAATTCTGAATTCCACAACAAAATATGATGGTGAATCCATAAGGACAGTCAAAGGGTGTGAATCCTACTTCTTTCCTACACTGCTGTTGCCACTTTCCTTCATTCTTCCATGGAACTGTTGAAATTAATTTAATATATTCTGACAGGCTGTCCTCCTGCTGTCCTAGAGGTGTTAAGTGAAGAAAGGGTTGTGTGAGAGGTCAAACATACATTTCTCTTTACATTCTTTTCTGATAAAATACCCGTATTTCCCTGAAAATAAGACCCTATCTTATATTTTTTTGAACCCCGAGATAAGCACTTGGCCTTATTTTGGCGAAGGTCTTATTATTTTGGGGCACGTGGAACAAGATGGGGCTCCTCTTGCCGTCTTACCTAATTTCCAGCTCTGCATTTAAATATTTTTGGGGAGGGCTTATTTTTTTGGGCAGGCTTATTTTAGTACATGCACTCAAAAGTCCGATTGGGCTTATTATGAGGGGATGTCTTATTTTTGGGAAAACTATCTATCTATCTATCTATCTATCTATCTATCTATCTATCTATCTTCCCAGGTTGATCAGTTATACTGAATAAGGCAGGATCAGTTTAAGACAGCCAGATCTGGGCTACCAAAACCCCCCCAGACAAATCAGACTATTAAATGGTAGCAAGGTATCAGTTCTCTAAATCTCTTTATCGCCATCTAGTAGTCAGATGGAATTTTATGATCCAAGAGGCCTCTTAGGAATTTCTTCCCCCGGCCCCCTCTCCTTTGCTGAAACATTTGAAAGTGGATGTGTTCCCTGACAAAACCTTAAATGATCTGCCTTTTGTAGCAAACAGTGACTGGCCTGAATAAGCCAAAGTCACTGCTGTGAAATAGGTGGCTACGTAAATTGTTGAAATAATTGATTGAGAGATTGAATGCAATGTTTTGAATGTTTTCTCATACACACACACACACACACACACTTGTCAATCCCCCAAATCATTACTGTCAAATATTAAGAGCTGCATATTTTAAAAAGCCATTGATTTGCTTTATGATTGTATGAATAAAATATTTATTTGCCTCTATTATTGTTAAAGAAATAAAGGCTGCTAGCAAACTAACGTCAAAACAACAAAGTATCTTTGGAAACCTTTCCTTCTTGCTGTCCACATGCATTTTCTACAAACCTGGCATTTTAAAGTGCAGCACATTTGTTCTATTAACTTCACATTCATTGGTTGCATACATTCTGGTCTGTTATGAGCAAAAGAACCTAAACCCTTATCCATTCTTTTCTTATTTACCTCATTTATTTTATATAACTATGTTGAAATTTGCTTTTAAGAGCTTACCGTCTCTGCGAAAGCATTGTTTTATTACTTGAAGGATCATAAACTCTCACTAGTAATTCAACTTTTGTTAGCCTCAGTTGCATCAGGATAATTGAAAGTCTAGTTGCTCCATGTTCTGGCTCATAACTCCCTCTTCTGCATACAGCTGCAAGTACTTTGATTTGGTTTCACAGGTATCATAAACTAAGCATCAAGCCTGCGGAAAAATCTAGAAAGTTCAGTTGAAATGTGGTAGTCCCTTGCACAGTACTGAGAACAGCTGTTTTATTTCCCATCTTGAATATTAAAAACTGACTTCAAACTGGGCATGAAGATCTATATGAGGAAAGTATGCCAAATACATTTTTAAATCTATCCTACTGTTATAGAATTCCCATTCTTTTGAAACATTTACAGAGATTTTCAGTCTTGGAGTCTTAACTGTTTCTTCTTGGGTTTTGTTTGTTGATTTGATTCTAAAAGGTTTGCTTCCTCTTCCCATATGACCTTACCACTCCATTAAGGACATCTTCGATATCTTCCAGTATTGAAGTCCATCAAATGGCTATTTTGAACTAGAACCAGTGGTGGGTTGCCCCCAGGTTCGCACTGGTTCTATAGAACTAGTAGTAAAACCAGCGGGAGGCTCTGCCCACCAACGCCATCATCATCAAAACGCTTGATGATTTTCTGTATCCCTTTCTCACCTGGCATATTGTTAATTACTGTATTTTTCGGAATATAAGACACAAGTTTCCCCCCCCCTAAAAGAGGCTGAAAATTTAGGTGTGTCTTATACTCCGAATGTAGCTTTTTCGAAGCTTTTTTTCAGCCCTAACGAAGCACTAGCGAGTGAAGCGATCTTTGCCTCCTTTTCTCATTGCTGCTCCCTCCGATGCTCAGCTGTGCTTTAGAAGCTTTTTTTCAGCCCTAATGAGGCGCTAGCGAGTGAAGTGATCTTCTGCTTGCTTTTCTCATTGCTTCTCTCTCCAAAGATCAGCTGTGCTTTAGAAACTGTTTTTTATCTCCAAGTAGGGTATAAAAAGTGTGCGTGTGCACTTAAAACCAGCGAACTAATGTGCTGAAGTTAACCAGACTAAGGACACTAGCCAGATGAACACCTGGTAAGCAGATTTCCCCCTCCCCTATTTTCCTCCCCAAAAACTAAGCTGCGTCTTATACTCTGGTGCATCTTATCCTCCGAAAAATACGGTAAACAAGTATCTGGATTTAAGAAGCAAATGGAGTATTCTGTCTTAATCTTCTGCTTATATAATTACTTTTTAAGTAGGGTCTTTTTTGTTCTCATGGGCTTCCCATTAACTTTCATTTAAAATTTAATGAATGTCTG